CAGTATATATGTATGTGTACATATATATATATATATATATATCTTACAACTGTTCAGTTAAAATAAATCTCACATATGTTGATGATTAGATGAAATGTGACCTTTCACCTTAGAGCTTCAGCACATAAAACACACATAATTTTTTTCTCTTTATCCAGATAATAAATGGTTCATGAACCATCCCTTGATCCACATCAGACCAGTTCTATAGGATTTTTTTTTGTCTGTTTTATCATCTACCAGATGAAACCATAGGTTTAATCACTAATAATAATAATATTAGTAATAGCACATCTCTCCTCAGCAAACCACATGATTCAAAATATGATGCAGATGAAAAACTTAAATATTTGAGTTTATTACTATAGGTTATGTTTTTAAAACACAATTTCACATTCAATTCAATGTGTTACTTACCATTTCCTTTTAACTGATTGTGAAATATACTAGCAATTTCTGAGCGAAAACTGTTTCTACTCCAGATTTTTGTCAGTGTAATGAGGAGAAGAAAAACAGAGTAGCACCTGAAGGTGATGGCATAAGAGTCTGAATTTTCTCTCTGTCTGATGAGGAAGGCTCCATCTCGAGGGATCCTCATGAGATAGTCCTCTGCCTCACCCCGACTCAAGTTACTGTAAAACCACCTAAAGACGAGAAAACCACAGTTTCACGTGTACGGTGTGTCTACAGTTGCTCGTGAGCGTTAAAGGTAGCTGTCCACGTGGTCTTCTACAGCTCTGCTGGCTGGGATGTGGTAAACACCGTGTGTAGTTTGTTTGTGTGTGTCAAGTATCGACTTACCCTTCTTGCAGGTGCTGGTCTGGTCGAGGCACAAAATCAGTGAGGCGCAGGTTGAAATCCTGACAGCGGAGAGGGCTTTCTCTGTAATACTGGACAAGCGTGTACACACTGGGGAAGTGCAGGTTGTCTGTGAGGAAATAGACAGTGTGGCCTCCTTCTAAGCAGGAACGGATTCGACAATGTTGAACTCGTCCGCTGCGCCTGTAAGGACCACACAGGGAATTTAATTTAGCAAAATGTGCATTTCTGTGCATTTGTGACGAAAGAAGAAAAGTTATTAACATGAATCATATGGATCATTCTGAAACTTATAAAAAATAATATGCTTTTATTATAATGAAATGATTTCTATTAAATGGTATTTCTTTCAGAAATATACTCTAGTCATGTAAATATGGAAGCCCGTTTCTGCCACTGAATAAAAAATAAAAAAAGGTAATTGCGACTTTTCATCTCACAAATCCGACTTTTTATCTCGCAATTGCAAGTTTACATCCCACAATTCTGACTTTTTTTCTCAGAATTGCGTGATATAACCTCGCAATTGCGAGTTATAAAGTCAGAATTGCGAGAAATAAACTCACAATTGCAAGAAATAAAGTCAGAATTGCGTGATATAAACTCACAATTGCTAGATATAAAGTCAGAATTGCGTGATATAAACTCATAATTGTGAGTTATAAAGTCAGAATTGTGAGATATAAAGTCGCAATTCTGAGAACATCAGTCTTTTTTTCCCCTCAAAATTTTACTTTATAACTCACAATTGTGAGTTTATATCTCACAATTCTGAGAAAAAAAGTCAGAATTGTGACTTTATATCACACAATTGTTATAAAGTCAGAATTCCGAGATATAAAATCACAATTCTGACATTATAACTCGCAATTGCGAGTTTATATCACGCAATTCTGACTTTTTTTTCTCGTAATTGCGACTTTATATCTCGCAATTCTGACTTTATAACTCGCAATTGCAAGTTTATATCTCACAATT